ATAATAATAATAATAATAATAATAATAATAATAATAATAATAATAATTTATTATCATTGTATGAATATACACAGTATACATATACAATGAAATTCACATAACACCTAGAGACCAGACCCAACACATACACATACATGACAATCCTCAAACATACCCCACCCACCCCTAAAAACACACAAGCACCCACACAACAGACCAAGTAATACTGTCCAACAGCTCACTAATGGTTGTCTTTAAGTTCATTGCAATTATAGCTGTGGGATAAAAACTGTTCAAAAAACGTAATGGTCCGAGTTTTAATTGTTCTGTATATTCTGCCAGAAGGCAACAATTCACAAATATTGTACGCAGGATGAAAAGAGTCTCTGAGAATGCTGTGCAGCTTCCTTAAACAGTGAGATGTGAAGATGTCGTCCAGGGCTGGTAGCTGGAGGCCGATGATATTCCAGGCAGTTTTAATGATTCTCTGTAGAGCCTTTTTGTCCACTACAGAGCTGGTCCCATACCATGCAAGAATGCTGTATGTCAAGACACTCTCAGTGGTGTTGCTGATTATCCAATTATTAATACAGAGATTACCTTGTAAACCAACATGCTGTTGCTCACAGCTCAGCAATTAGACTTATATGCAATATTCTCACGTATTCTAACATGCAATCAATATGCATTTTTAGGAATTACGACAAAGCCTAATGCCAACTGTTTCTCTTATGTCCCAACAGGAGTATCTGCAGCCACAGAAGGAAGAAAATAGACTGGAGCATTATGGATATGACATCCCCCTCTCCTTTCATTGTCTCAACACAAATCAATGCAACATCCGCTGGCAAAAACAGAACCTGCTATGATTCCGGCATTAACGAAGAAGTGCTTGTTTATGCAATCTTCACTATGCTTTTTTGTGTATTGGGAATGTTGGGCAATGGCCTTGTGATCTGGTTGCTGGGCTCCTCCGTTAAGAGGAACACTTTTGCCATTTATATTATCAACCTCTCTGTTGCAGACTTTGGTTTTCTCACCTTTGAGCTGATTATCGAAATCCACTGGCTTTTTACACATTTGTATTGTGACTTTCCCTACGAACTCTTCCAAACAGGCCTGCTGTTAATGTACAGTACAGGGCAATTTCTCCTGACAGTCATCAGCATCGACAGGTGTATTTCGGTCCTTTACCCAATTTGGTATCGATGCCACCGGCCGGTGTATATGTTCACTGTTGTGTGTGTTGTCATCTGGGCCGTTTCCTTCATCCTCTCTTCAATTCATTTCACAATTATAGCAGTGGATGGATTTGGAAACAGTTATACTCTGATGTATCAATTCATCATTAATGCTGTGCTTTGTCTCCCACTTATGACCATCTCCAGTGTCACCTTGTTTATCAAAATCTGCTTCATATCCAAAAGCCAAAGGCGGAGGCAGCTTTTGACAGCTATTTTGCTCACACTTTTCTTCTTTTTAGTTCTGGCTTTTCCACTAAATGCCTTTTATTTTATCCTGTATGTTTTCAAATATATACACCCCAACCTTGTACATTATGGCTACTTGTGTACCTGCATCAACAGCGGCATTAACCCCCTGATTTATTACCTGGTGGGGAGACAGAGGGGTAAAGCCAGGAAAGGCATCAAAGACTTGTTTCAAAAAGTTTTCAAGGAGGAGGAACTCTCTACTGATGAACTGGAGACATCGGAAGGTTCCAAGATCTGAATGCTTTACTTTCACTCTTGTCAATCAAAAGATGCATTTGTTTCTTTCCAAGCAAGCCCATGTATATATTTTTATTTAAAAGAAACTAGACTTTATGCTGATTAATTTCTGCATGTATCCAGAATTGGTGCAGATCGTTATCTTTGTGGAAAGCATAACATTTCTCAAGTTGGACTAATCTATTTACCAAGTATTATCTGAAGACTAATGAACTTGCTCTAATTCATCCTTCCCCAACTTGAGTGGCCTCCAATTCTGTGTGCTTGAACTTCAATGTCTAGCTAGTAGGATTGTTGCTGAGAATTTTCAAAGTTGGCATGTACATCATCAGAGAATTGCTAAGCCATGGACTGACACATGTAAGCTTCAAAATGTCCCAGGTTCTATCACGTACATGACCAATAGTGAAGGATAATGGAACCGTAGCTCTACACTACCTGGAGAATCCTAAATCTGTATCTCCATGAGACCAGGATTCATCAACTCAATTGTATCAAAAGGTGGACAACAAGAAAATCATATTTAAATAAAAATATTTTTGGCTGATTCTAGAAGAAAAGAATCAGAGAAAGACTGAAAGAATTTCAAGTGGTAATATCTACAAACTGATCTATCTTCCAATATATATTGTAGTTAGAGCAATTACATTTCAACCATTTGTTATAGCTTTATGGTCTGGGCATACATAAATGAGAGGTTTAAAGGTTTCCTATTATAAGGACAGAAGCAACTGCAACTAAAATAATGCTGTATATTTATTATAGAATGTTAAAAAAATACCATTATTTACTCAGTGTATTCCTCCTAAAGAGCTATCAACAAAGCATGGCGTTGCTCTTAACTTTTTTTGGGGGGGGGGGGGGGGGCTTTCTTGTGAAAGTGCAAATGACTATTTTAGACAAAAAATTTCCATATAGTTCACTCGCTGTGGCTCCATGTAGAGAAAATGAATTTTGCTATGCTAGAATCATGTGGGGCTACCCATAAAGAGTTTTTAAAAATTCAAGTGGTGCAGGAAGGGTGGTAATAGCAGTTTGGCATTTTGATTTTATTGTATTTATTGTACCATATTGTCAATGGTTGCCTAATCAACTTTGAAATTGTAGGTATCAAATTCCTAAATAGTTCTGGGTTAACATATATAAGAAGGTTTCTGCTCTCGTATCAACAGAAGGCAATTTGCCTGTCTTGGGTAATAAAGGAAGCATTCTAAGCTTTGTGGTTTCATGCTTAAAATTCATTTAAATTACACAGGCATCACAATTATAGAAATAAATAGACGTTTAAGCCTGGGCTTAGCAAAGTTACTTTAGCCTTAAGCAACTTTAATTGCACCAAGGAGCTTTTTTTCTTCTTCCAGTAAATGCTGATGATATTTTATCTTTTATATGGTTAAATAGAAGTTTATACCTTCAGATTTGGAAGTTTCTGTTAATGTGGCACTACAATAAAGTAGATTTAGCTCATCTAGTCATGTTTCCTGTCTGATTTACCCAGAACAGAGGATGCAGGAGAGCTGACAGTTGAACATACAATAACTAAATGCCTGATCCATGATGGCGAATCTATAGCGCATGTACCAGAGGTGGCACGCACAGCCCTCTCTGTGGGCATGCAAGCCGTCACCCCAGCTCAGCTCTGCTGTGCATGTGCTCACACCTCCCACCAGCCAGCTGGTCTTTGGGTCTCTGCAGCACATGTGCAAGGGTGGGCTGTATGTGGGGGACATGCATGCATGCGTGGGGGCGAGGCGCATGCACGGAGGACACGCATGCCTGTGCAGGGGGCAGGGCGCATGTGCAGTGGACACATGCGCATTGCATTTTGGGGGTTCGCGTGCATGCTTTGGGCACTCGGTGCCGAAAAGGTTAGCCATCACTATGCTAGATGAATTGAAGATAAGCCATGCCTGAACAGGATGTGATCTCTTTGCTTCTTTGTCCTATCAGGAAAAGGAGCAACAACTTGCTTCTTCAGACCACAATGCTAGCAGGTGGCTTCTTCTTTCACTGCACCCAGAATGCATAGCTGAAAGCAGAAGGAGAACCAAGAGAGGCTTTTGGCTCCCCACCATCTACAAAATGGTGTCACCATGGCTGGTATATAATGGTGACATTGCACTGGGAGCAGTTACAAGAGCTGCAGGAGGACAGGGGAATGGCTGATAAGAAGTGTTCCAAAATACTTCAAATATCTGGGGCAGGCACAGTGCTGACACCAACAGGAAAACTCAAGTTGATTTCTTCCAAGGTGGACTTCGCTCTCTTCCCAATAGGTGGCTCCCAAGAATGGTGGGAGATTTGGAGACATTAAAATACGTTGAGTTTTGAGAGAATGTTGAAGCTTCTTCAAAGATGGTAAAAGTGAGCTTTTGAATGTTTATTTATTCAGAATTTGTCTAGTTGTTTGTGATGTGGGGAGAATATATACATCTACAAAGCATTGCAAGCTGGTCCCAGCATCTCAAGTGATTGGTGCACTAGTGAACCAGAGGGAGGACACTTGTCATGATCCCAGCTTAAAGCTCATTCCTAAAACTTGGTTGCATATTATCTGGGGAAATGTGAAAGTTAGGCCTTGGGCAAGACAAGTGGCCATGTTCCTTTATATGGATGAATGTGTGAATGGTGTGAGAAATATTATAAAGTCTTGCCTCATCCAAACCCACTTCTAATTGCATGGTGCAGCAATTGGGCAACGATACAAGCTCTGGGATGTGTTAAGAAATAGCTTTATGAAACTAAAGAAACTTTTTTGTTGTTTTTAGTCACAAAGTTCAGAGCACACGATATCTGTTCCGCCTCCCAAGTCCCAGCTGATCGGAGCCCAGCTGATTGGCTGGGTCTTCTTTTGTTGCCTTGCACAGGAGAACGGAGCTGGAAAGCAGTTATTAGGGTGGGGAGGGAATGGGGATTTTACAGTATCCTTCCCCTGCCACACCCACCAAGCCATGCCCACCAAGACACACCACGCCCACCAAGTCATGCCCACAGAATCGATAGTAAAAAGATTTGAATACCACCACGGCCACAGGTACACATATACTGAAAGATATCCTGAAAGATTTATATAAGATCATGCCTCCGCCAGACCTGTATATTATGAAGAGATAAAAACTTCAAAACACATTCACACAAAGAATAATTTTTCCTATAAATACCTCCCACCTGGAAACTTCAAAGTAGTCTTTCTTTCGGCGATGTCTTTATGCTCTCAAACAAACATTCAACCTTTTCAAGCAGCATGCCTGCTATTATTCTTACATAATCCCAGCCATTGTTGGGTTGCAACCGGTTTAACAACTGGTTCGCACTCACTTCGCACACGCAGCATTCAATAAACACTGATTTGAACCTCTCCAGCTCACATTCTAGTCTTCCCTGGTAAGTATTTATTTAATTTTATTTATTTATTTGATTTGTCAATTGCTTACAAGATAATAGGTATAAGTATAAACATAGTTATGAATACATGAAATGGATACATGTAAGAAAAAATAAAATGAAACAATAGGACAGGGACGGTAGGCACGTTGGTGCGCTTATGCACACCCCCTACAGACCTCTTATGAGCTTATGTACACCCCCTACAGATCTCTTATGCGCTTATGCACACCCCCTACAGACCTCTCAAGTAGAACAGCGGAGGAACTGTAATTCGCTTTGCCACGCAAATCATCTGAGTTGCAAAAGAAGAGAATGTAAGACAGGATAGGGCGGGTGAGGGTGTGGGTGGGTGGGGCCAATTGGTTGTCATTTGTACCATTTCTCTAGAACCACCAGCAGCCCACCACTGATCCCAGTTTGGAAAATGGACCAGAGTTCTTTTCTCATTGGTATGCAAACACACATTAAACACGGTCCTTCCTTGTAATGCCATTGTTGCTTCCTTAACTTACACTCTGTGGCTTGCCTGCACGTGCTCCCTTCTCTTGCCCTGCTCTTCCTCTCCTTGCTAAACCTCAGACCTGAGCACACTCCCAGCATGCAAATGACTTTGCTCCTAAGCCTTACATACTACACACTTATGCACATGCATCCTGCCTGCCAAATGCTCTTGTGTATATCTTCCCCCTGAAACCAAATCTCAAAACTCACTCCACTTTTGAATTTACATTATTTGTATAGCTTTCACATTAAATTAATAATATTTACAGACCGCTCACATTCTGGACATAAACTGTTTCAACTCCTACCCTCAAAAGATGCTATAGAGCACTGCTATAGAGAACAACTAGACACAAGGACAGTTTTTTCCTGAACGCCATCATTCTGCTAAACAAATAATTCCCTCAACACTGTCCAACAATTTACAAAGTCTGCACTACTATTACTGTTAATCTTCTCATCACTCCTTATTACCCATCCCCTCCCACTTGTGACTGTATGGCTGTAACTTTGTCAGTTGTATCCTAACGATTTACATTGACTGTATGGCTGTAACTTTGTCAGTTGTATCCTAACGATTTACATTGACTGTTTCCTAGTATGATTTGATTGCTTATTGTATCCTATGACTATTATTAAGTGCTGTACCTTATGATTCTTGACTCTTGATGAATGTATCTTTTCTTTTATGTACACTGAGAGCATTTGCACCAAGACAAATTCCTTGTATGTCACACTTGGCCAACAAAGAATTCTATTCTATTCTATTCTATTCTATTCTATTCTATTCTATTCTAT